ACTAGAGGCCTATGGGTAATACATGAAGCAAGGCTACATATGATGATCTTTTCTCAAAGGAAGAAGTCTGTAAATTTTTCTGAGATAAAAAAAAAACATAAGACGAAATATTTTTATAATTACTCTAGACCTCTTTAAAATTTAATTTTAAATAAAAAGAGCAGACTTCAGTGGCGTGGTTACTCTCCTTATTGATTCAAGACAAGTCCCCGTTTTCTGTCATGTGGGTGATTTTGGATGTGGCGAAGGAGGATGGACACCTGTGATGAAGATTGATAGCAGCAAGGTTTTTTTATTGTGTTCTTTTTTCAATTCGAGTTCGTCTGATTGATCTTAATAAATGAGATAAAACGTTATAATTATATTATAATTATTACTACCATTTGCCACGTTATCATTGTTATATATCATTTAAGTTATTCATTATTATTTATTGAGTTATTCACCTTCGTAAGTGTGAGACATTTGTCACTTGAGTGAAAAACACGACTGAACGAGTTTTCGTCCTTCTACAGGGAACCTTTCATTATAGCAGCTCCTACTGGACTGATAGAAACGAGTACAACCCTCCTGGAGGGGAGACTGGGTTTGACGAACAGGAAACCAAGTTGGCCATCTACTGGAACGCATCTTTCTCTAAGATCTGTCTTGGCATGAAAATCAATGAACAGCTCAGATTTATTGTCATCAACGAGCAGGCTGACTCTTTGTACTCACTGATCGCCGATGGGCAATACCGCGAAACCTCACTGCGTCGTGATACGTGGAAAACGCTTATTGGTGCAGCTGCTTCTTTGCAAGACAAATGTAACAAGCAAGGGTTCAATGCATTTTGTACGTTAGCATCGTCATCAAAAGCCAGGATTGTTATTGTCAGTAACCAGGAGGACGAGTGCTTAACGTGTGACTAAAGGATCGGATTTGGGACTGGAGGCTACCCAGATGATTCGAACGTGTGCGGTAACGTGGCAAAACACCATCCAGATAATGGAGTGAAATACATCAAAGCTATGGGATATATATTGGTGCAATAAAAAGGATATGACTAAAAAAACAAAAAACAACAACAACAAAAGCAATCATTTACTTAGTCATCAAGATCTAGAAGATCATTGGTTTCTTCGTTACTTAAGCCCTGGAAAAGTGCAGCTTGACGATGCAATCCAAGGCACATCATTAACGAACGAACGCACATCATTAGTGTATCGCTGTGATTTCAACATGGGATCTCCTTTTGTTGTCATCTCCGCTAGAAAATTGCGCTCAGCCATGCACGCTAAACTCTGCAATCACTTGCTGCCGTTCAAAATGAATTTTTGAATTGCATAGGAAAGAAAATGCTGCGAATTGATATTGACAAAATTGTGAGGTTAATAAGCGTGCCGTTGTGTGTGGAATGAACCGTTTTCCTCTCTCAATAAATTTTATTTATGAATTTCTCATTTTTTATTTATGTTATTCGAGCCTTCTATTGTCGTAGAAGTTCATCACGTGACTTTGGCAGCAGACACAATCACACATTTTCTACCCATTATTTGACACGTCAAACAATAACTTTTGTTGCGCATGCGCAATATCTAGCGCCGTATTAACTGCCGAGGTCGATCAAAATGAATTCATATAACATCCACTAAACTTAAGTATTTGAACTCATTTTTGCAAAATTTCTTTTAGAGTTTGCTCGCACGTTTTCTGAATAGAAACACTCAGGGCACGTGCATTGGAAAACTGATCCCACGGAATGGAAGTAATATTTTTGTTTTGATAATTTAAGGCATAAAAAACAGCCAAGAGGAGCGAAAAGGGATTAAAAATTTTTTTCTTTGGTTGGCGCGAAAAATGATATAATAACTTTCACCGTGTATGGTACATTAATGTATGATGGAACAAATTTCCGTCATTTTTTTTTCCTCGAACGACAGTTTTCATCCAGAAAACGAAGGGTTTTTAGTGATAATTGGCTCGATATTTGACTGCTGTACGTCGGCTTAGAACACGAATGTCAGCGGTTCTTTTTGTGGCGTGTGACGTAGGTTATGGGGATGAAGGTAAACACGGCAAGGAACAGGCAAGTTGAATTCAGGACTGCGGCTTGCTCGCGGGAAAGAGTTTGTGGTTTTCCAGGAGTAAAGATTGTGCAAGGTGAAGCAAAAAATGATTCAAGCGCCTCTCATATTAGAAAATTGGTCTTCTATCCAGGGATTGTGTAAGAGTAAAATATTTTTGCTTTCGTAACCCTGTGTCTTTGAAACGTAGTTACGTGTCCAGATCATGAGCGGCGCATCTTTTATACTTGGATTGACCTCGATGTTTTCGGAATAGGGTCTCCACTTTAACTTTTCTTACATACTGGTAATTTAAGATATTTCATCTTCCATTCTGTTTCCCATATTTTGTTATTTACCTTTTCTAACATTAGTTTGCAAATGGTTTGTAGTCTGGATTTTGCAATGGCATGTACGATAACGCACGCTGTTAGCAATGTCGCAAGAAGTCCAAAAGGAAATAAAATTTTGAAATTCGTGTTGAACTTTGGTTTATAAGTTCTTTATAATGGGTTAAATTCTTGGCTTACGCAAGAAAGAATGTACAAATACGGAAGCCCGAGTTGTTTGAGTTTATTCTTATATCTGTTCTTGGCGGTTGAGTAGCCCTCGTTGCTATATTTACTTCGATTACTTTCGAGCTAAAAAATGGTATACTGCGCGGCGTTCGATTGTAACAACGACTCGAGGTACACAACTGGTATATCCTACCATTGCTTTCCGAGGGATGAAGCTCTACGATCACAGTGGCTGGCAAAGATCTCACGAGCGGATCTGGTCGTTTCGAAAAACTTCAGGTTGTGCTCAGAACATTTTACACCTGACTGCTACGAACGAGACTTGAAAGCAGAAATTCTTGGTTTGAAACCCAGATCTACGCTAAAACCTGGTGCAATACCCACGGTTTTTTCGCATCGGAGACCATCAAAAAGACCTCGACTTTCATCGGAGAAACGTTCAGAAGAGAAAATCAGAAAAGAAGTAAGTGAATCGTGAATTACTCTCTTGCAACTGGGTTGGGTTGTTGCAAAGCTTGGGTTGTTGCAAACTCTTGAAGCTGCTCATCATTTATGCATGATTAATAAAAAATAATGAAAGGTGAATGCAGTTTGGGGGCAATAGCAATTTATATCTTAAGGGATATCACCCGAACAGGTTCCTTTGAGAAAGATTAAATTT